AATGTTTGTAAGAGATTTTGATATTTTATTTGTCTATTGGACAGATGAATTTAAAGAAAGTTCAAATTATTTTCAACACATTTAGTGAGGATTAAAGACGAGGTTATCTATAAAGTGTTTGTTATCACACCAATTACACACGCACCTAATATGTATTCATAAATGACGATTGTATAACTACATATTAATTGTGCAATAAATAATCATTTTTAAACGCAAACTAAGGAAATAAGATAGTAATAATTTATTTTTTAACTTCGAAACAGGAACAGAAATAACAATCGAAGAACAAATTGTGTTACGTGTGTGAAGTTACAAACAGTCTTGAAGCTGTGGTGCGTGGAATACAAAGGTAGTTGGTTTGCTTTAGTAAAGTGGTTTAAGTGAGTATTTCTTTAACTATTTTCATTTAATTTTGTTTTTTAAGCAAATACTTAGTAGGATTGTAATTTACATCACTAATTACAGTAATTCTAAGAATGAATATATTAAAGAATGTGTCATCGGCTTTTTGGTCAACTGATGTTTGGTTACCGCCTAACATAACGTGGGATGATATAAAACCAAATTCAGAGAACAAATATGCAGACTATCAACATTTAATTTATCCTTTACCTATGTCACTTGTTCTTTTGGTAATCAGATACGCCCTAGAAAGGTAATTGTTCTTCTTTTTCTGATATATTTTTTTTACATCTATCATGAAATCTCTGCGAAATTTATAATTAGACTAAGGTTGTATCATACTTAGTATTAGTATTTATATTTTTTATATTATTCGAAAAATTTAATTTTCTAAATATTTTGTTAAATATCTAACGTAAATTGAGTTATAAACATACAATGTTTGATATACGGCAATAATATGTAATACATAGTTACACATATAAGCATCAAATTATAAAATTATATGTTTTATTAATCTTTTTACAGGTATTGTTTTGCACCTATTGGAAAATCTCTTGGTATAAAAAATACAAGAGTAAAGAAAGCTGCTGTAAATGAAGTATTAGAGAAAGCCTATGCTAGAGGAAAAATTAAACATAAGCTGGTGAGTACATGGTACCTTAATTCATTTCTTAATGTATTGT